TTTTTTTTTTTTTTTTGAAGATCAATTAGTACTTTTTCATAATATGAAGATTTCACCAATATTTATACCAACACTAGTGGGTTTGGCAAGTCAAATTTGTGTCATTTTTCAAAAAGCTTTCCTTCAATCAATCTATATTGTTAACAGCCTATATATACAGGGGCCTGAAAAATATTTACTATATACGAAAAATTAACTGTTTCATAGACTGGTATAGACTAGGTAGAATATCTCTCAAAGTGTTATAACACCGACTTTGGCCTAATTTCTTAAACCATTCATTTTGTGAAGGTTAATAAATATTGCCAGAAATTTAGCTTTAGCTTTGGGTGTGCCATATATTTAAATCCTATATATATGTATTTATTTTTATACACAAAAAAAAATCTTATGTTTATACCTTCTGTGGCAGGTAAAGTTTGAGGTAAAGATAGCTGCGGGATTCCGCCCAAAGGATATTGTAATCGAAGAGGCAAATAATGCCAAAGCAAAGTGGATTGTAATGGATAGGTCTCTTTCACACTCCAGCACATAGATGACAAAAACATCGAAATCACAACTATGATCTTAGTTAATTTCGTGTTAAATTAAAAACAAAGACGAAATCCACTATGAAATTGTTGCACTATAATAACAAAAATAACCTGTTGTTGCCAATATTATAACACAAGAAGCCAATTTTCGCATGTGACCTAAAAAAATAAAAATAAAAAAATGTCTCGACCTCTTGTAAATACCGTCAAATTAATCAATAACTAGATACGTTTTCTACAATTTTTCATTGTCCCAGATTATAGACGTTGACCAAATGAGATTAAACTCATTCTGTTGTTGTTGTTCCAGGTGCTTTGCTAAAGATCCAAGTTTCCAACTAAACGGAACAAAATTCAACGTAATCTCGGTGAATGACGACGGCGAAGCCATTTTCCACCTTAGATATGCTCCTGAAAGCTCATCATCAGCCACGATTAAAAAACTAAAATCCGAGAACAGATATTTAAAAGTAAAAAAGGAACCAAAACCTCAAATGAAGCCATTTGAGTGTTTCAAGTTACCACCAACATTATCTCAACCTTCTTCTCCTAGTTCATCAACTACTAGTCCTCCACAAAACGAAAAGCTTAAAATGGAGGTGCCAGCAATAGAAGGAAGTACTAGTAGTGCTGCTATCTTTTCTCCGCGAAGTAATAATAACATTTCGTCGAGAAAATTCTGCGATCCTAACTTTGTGCTAAGACTGCCATTGAAACTGAGCAAGGAAGAGCTTGAAGAGATAACGCTCAAGTTTAGCACGACCATTTCCTCGGACGAGAGCCAGCACTTTGTGGTGTTTGAAGGGTTTTTTCCGGTTTATCAGTTGCGCGTTATGGTTAAGATGTTTAGAGGAGATTCTGGTGGAGTTTTTCTTGAGGCTGAGAAGAAGGCAGCCTTGTCTATGCGCCATAAGAATATAATGAGGTTGATTGGATACCACCAAAGTGAAGATACTACTTTTCTGGTGTTCCCATTTGCTGAAAGAGGCACATTGGATTTATGTATTCTTAGTGGTGAGTTAATTAACTAAAGTACATTTTTTCCTTTGGTTTAGTAATGGGAATAGGTACTATTTAGAACTTCAATCCATGTGTCAATTAAATGTCTCTTTTTTTCCCTTTGAAATATGACAAAATATGTAAATTAATATGATCATAACAGATTTTTAATGTGTCAAATATTCAAGTTATCACGTAAAACTTAACAATTTTATACGTAATAATTTGTGGACACACGATTATTTAAAGATTAATTGTGCTATAAGTATTTAATTATATTGATGGATTTTTTTACTTATATGATGTCTCTTGTTTTAAATAATTCTGATGCTTAGTGGAATTATATGGTGACAGGCCTTAGTGGGAGAGAGTTTAAATTGACATTCCAAGATAAATTAAGGATAGCCGTAGGGATTGCTCAAGGTCTTCGATACATGCATGAAGAATGTCCCCGAGGCCCCATTGTCCATGGTAAACTATTACTCAGCAATGTCTTTATAGGAGCTGACCTACAGCCACAGGTGAAAATCCCAAATCAATTATATTTACAAGCCAATTATATATCTTAATTGCTTTGATTATATATTATAAGACTCTAAACACTTGCCTTGCATTATATATATATATATATATATATATATGTGTGTGTGTGTGTGTGTATATATATGTTTATACTTAGATCTCTGGCTTTGGGGTCGCTACGTGGCTTCATTTCAAACATGCACAACCAATCCTCTGTGAAAGGTTTGCTGAAAGGTACGTAAATGTATTTTGAGTTTCATGACATTGCATGTACACAAGTTATACATACTCAGGAGTTGGCTGTTTTGAGTTATAAATGGCCTTCAAGCATACTTTTTCTTTTTCTTTATTTATTTTTATTTTTATTTTTTTGGCAACTATCAATTTTGACATATATAATTAGATATCTAATAGTATCTTGCCAAAAAGTACGTGCACTTAGTTTTTGATATCATATTTAAAAGGACTTGATCCCAGATCTGAATATATTGAGAACAACTTACGCGCCGATTAAACATCGATTGCGTTAGCCTTAATTGTCTTCTTTTTGCAAAGTGGCTGATCAAGTAAATATATGTTAATTATTAGGTACTGTTCATTTGAGGATTATCCAGATCCTGATTCAGTGGCTCAAGTGAAGTCCGATGTGCTATCTTTTGGAGTCCTGCTCTTGAGATTGTTTTGTGGAATATCTGTGCCACAATATGATGAAACTTTGATTAAGTGGGTTAGTATATAAATTCTTGGAAGAAGAGTACTGCTTATAATTAGGGGCATTTCAAGCCAATTTTTTTGTTCTTACAACAGTCTTATATTAGTATAATGTTAATTGCTACATATAATATTATAGGCTCGTCCGTTGTTACTAGAAAGGGCATTCCACATATTACTAGACAAAGACGATAAAGACATAGACATGCACGAAATGTTTAGAGTAATGTGCACAGCGTTTCAGTGTGCCATGACTAGTCCAGATAAGCGACCATGCATGAGCCAGGTATAAATTAATGTTTTCTGTTTATATATATATATATATATATATATATATAACACTCAAGTTTCGCCTATTATTACCATGTTTTCTTCGAGAAAAAAGGTATTGAATTTTTGGTTTCTATGAACAAAAAAGTTAAAAGAGAACATAAACTTTAACAAAGCAAGGAGTAAATTGATTAGCAGCTAGCTTGAATAATTACGATTTTCTTCTTTTTCTTTTCTTCAGGTTATTTCGTATCTTAAAGGGGAAAGTTTCTGTGTCATGCAATCATCTCCGTAATCCAATTATTATTTGAGGAGCAATAGAATTACTTTACGGACTGTTTTGTAGTACTACCACAAGCTGGTCTCTCTGCTAGTTTGGATATATATTTCTCAACACTTTGACAGTAAAAATTGTATAAATTACAAAGGAAAAGATTGAAGATTTGTGCGGTTTTAGTATTAGCTTCTTCATTATAGTACTGTATGTATATATACTATATAGCTTCAGAAATTAAAAAGTGCGTCATCGTTTGGTGTAGCTTGATTTTGCTAAAAATAAAAACACTGATGATTCTGCAGTACCCTTCTACCTTGTTAATTAGATCCTATGCAAAATTATTCTGTTTATACGTACGTATCTGAAATTATTCTGTTTATAATACGTCTCTGAGATGTATCATATGTTACATACATGTGTGTTCAGAAATACACACACACACACACACACACACATATATACTCAATATATTCTTATGATGCGCATATTCTCGGTCTATGATCTTGTTCTACAAATATAGTTATTTTCTAAATGTCAAAACTTAGGAGATGATTCATTAATCAGCTGCATGTAGTAGAGCATCCAATTATTACATGGTATTTTATGCCCCTCCTAAATATGAACTATTCCCAAACAGTATTACTCTTGTGTGCAAGTTTAAGCTTCTTAGTTTAATTGCAAATATAACAAACCAAATCTACAGTGAAAATAATTCGTGTTGTCGCATGTAAATTTCTTTTGGAGCCAAAAAAGACTTTTTGGTTAGTTGGTATAATATTCTGAATTCAGAAAAGTCCCTGAAAAGTCCGAACATGGATTATTGACGTTCACTCAGTACTTACGAAACTTAGAGAGGAGAAAACGTAAGGGAAATTTTCTGCCCTAGTTTTTAGTTTCATGTAGACATATACGGATAAAATTCCTTGCTCAAAAAAAAAAAAAAAATATATATATATATATATATCAAGAGATCTAATTAGGATTTTAATGATTTCTCTCTTTTTATTAATTATATATATGTGTGTATATATATATATATATATACACACACACGCACACACATATATGCATATAGGCTGTGCCATATGTAATATGGTTCCATTATTAAGCCATTTAGGGTGCAGAAAAGATGCATGTAGGTATGGTTTTATTTTTGTTACTTTAAGCTAGCAAAATTGTAAGGGCAGACTGGCAGTAGATCATGTAATTAATTAGGCTATGGATGATCCAAAAAGGTACATAAATCTATGTATATTGAAGGAGATGTGTACGGACTATAGTCTTTAAACAGTTGAGCAAAAGGGATATATACGGCCAGTATCTAGGCTAGCTACATAGAAAGGCATATTCTTGCTGTAGCAGCCAAGAGTAAGAGAGGGAAAAGAGGCCAAGATAGAATCTTTCTTATTTTTGCCCTTCATTCTCAATGTGCTGTAAAGTATTAGACGTTTTCTAAGAAATATTGTAAGCTTCATTCATTTTATCAATTCGAGTTTTCAATTCCAATTTTGCTACAGTTAAAAGCTATTATAAAAAATCACATCTAACTTTTTTATTACAGTTAAAAGCTCTCATATAAAGTCACATATTAGTTAGAATTGAAAACCCGAATCGGCTAACTGAACGAGGCCGTAGTATATATGTATTGGGATATTGATTCGTCACTTTGTTGTCCTGTTATTTCATGTGCTAATTAAGCACTTATTTAGTGGCTTTTAGTGTTTTATTATAGTTTTAAAAGTTTTACATTTACATTTTTGGAAAGAGAATCAAACAAGTCATGGTAATTCCAAAGCATTCCACACTTTTCAGTCTTTGGAAAAAGGCCAATTTTTGCCATCAAAATCGTTACCTTTAGCTATAACTTTCCGTGATACACATGCCCAAGATTCTATTCCAAAAAGGTGTATATATCCAACACACCTTATGATTATTCCACACTTTATGATCATAATATAAAGTCTCCGGGTACAAATGGTGGCTGCAATTGTGCTCTCCTTTGCTTTCTCATTTCCATAATTAAAACAACCTTAACACTCACAGAAGCACTGAAGAATTGACCAGTACTGACCAAATCTTAAGAAAAGTAAATAAAAGAACAACCAAAGTACTTAGTGGGGGATTTTCTCTTGGTGTTTTTGGGCCAGACACGCATGCACTAAACCTATTAACCTAATACCTAACGATCTACAATTGTTCTACACATGCTAGATGCTTCCATTTTATGTATAAAGTTTGATAAATTTATAGTAGTAATCAAGCATGATGTTTTTCTATCTAGGGCCTTAGTTTTAAGAAAATTACTTGATAAGTTGGCATAGAAGGAAACATATCCAATTAGTCTTAGTATCTTTTTTTTTTATTTTTTTTATTTTTATAATAGTGAGATAAAAAATGTTTTAGTTTAAAACATTCTTATCTACTTGTAGGACCTTGTTCTGTTTGCATTTGCTTTAGTCATTCCATTAAACAAAAGGATTGGTACGTGGCTTTAAGATGCCATGGCAAACATAATCTTGACTTTTGACTTTTTAACTACCTCGAACATTATTAAAATCAAATATAAATAATGCCAAATAAGATATTAATAACAAAAAACAAACGTCTGAGAAAGAAGAAAAAAGAAAAGAAAATGTAGACCAAACATACCTTAAATGCCTAGCCATAAAGTCCTCATGGGTCATTACCCCATCACAAACGTTACACCTGGTTCACATTTATTGAAAACATTCGCTTTCTTTTGGCTAGGGAAAAAAAATAAGAAATCCCCTAAAAAAAGCATTAACTTTTCCATTTTCTAAATATGTGTAACGTTCATTTTATATGATGAATTGCCTTTTATTTTCTTTTTCCTTTTTAATACACTAGATAAACAAACTAACTAATAAGGTAAATTAAAATGATTTGTTGGTATGGTAATTTATTAATAAAGAATCTAAGACTATAATTATTGTCATTTAGATGAATAATATTATGAGACAATAATAGTGTTAAACACTATTAACTAATAAAAAATGAGTCTTGAAGAATAGAACTTACATGTGAAGTCCACTTTTTATTATTAATAGTGCTTAGCATCGATTTTTCACCAAGTATTTTAGGGGTTATTCTTTTGGAGTGTAACTTGAGTGCAGTTTTTGAGTTGAATTTGAGTTATAACTTGAGTTGAAGTTGTAACTTGAATAAAGTTGAGTAAAGTTAAATAAAGTTAAAACTTAAAAGAACGTGAACTTGAATAAAGTTAGAACTCGAGTTATTTTTTTTTAAATTTTTTAGACAAAAAAACATGCCCTTAACTTCTCTTTTTTTTTTTTTTTTTTTTTTTTTTTTTTTTTTTTGAACTTTGAAGAGACCACACCCAAAGCTGGCTAATATGCTGAGTTGTAGTTTGAACTTTGAAGAGACCACACCCAAAGCTGGCTAATATGCTGAGTTGTAACAATATAACCACCATGGCCTACCACAACATTGTGTTCTCTCCACACAATGTCTGTTCAAACCCACCTCACAAAAAAAAAAAAAGAAAAAAAAAAAAGGTTTATATATAAATATCTTATATAAAACGGTATTTGTGTGGCCTTGGCTATAAGCTTAATATCCTTCTCTTCTCTCCTCTCCTCTCCTTTCTCTCTCTAAATTATCTCTTTCGCCAAATTCTTCGTTTCCAATCCAATCGCGTCGCTTATTTGTCCGAAATCCAACGTTTCTCGGACACACCGATACGCTTTTAATGTCCGAACAGATTCTTTCTGGTTCTCACCAGTTCATAAAAAATCCGCTTTATTATTTTGATTTTTAATTTTTTTTTGGCTCGCTTTCGACATCCTTGGAGTGTTCTTGAGCTTCTTCTTTGAGGCGTTTGTGTGGGGGTTGAATTTCTCGGCTGTTTAATGCTCATCCCGACTCAATGAGATTGCTCTCTTCCATCACAAATGGCCTCTGCTCCTTCCATGTCTGGTATGTTTTTTATTTTTATTTTTATTTTTTGTGTGTTTTTGGTTGAAATGTTCAAGAATCGAAGTGAATTGCGATTGATGATTTGAGAATTCGGCTGTTGATGATGTTTGTGGTTCGTGTATTTTGAGGTTTTTGTGTAATGTTTGGTTTCTGGTTTCATGTAGTTTCTTTAGAATGCGTGAGCATATGTAATTTGCCGAAGGGGGATGGGAGTGGGAAATACGACTGCAACATTCTGTCGTGTGCGTGGAAAGCTCCGAGGGTCCTGACCGGGTTCCTCGCGAGCACGGCCCATTCTCCTCAGTGCTCTTCTCTCTTGTCGAATGCGCGAAATGGAAGAAGAACAAGAACAAATATCGTAAGTTCTCTGAATTGCCCCCAAAAGGAGTTTCAGTATTTGAATTTGATTCATTGCTGTGAGTTTTAAAAAGCCCCATCACTCGTTTTGCCACCTCCAATTTGTTTGTTAGTGGCTTAAATTGATACGTTTAGTATAGTAATCGAAATCGAAACTTTGTTAAACAGTTGCTCTATAAAGTCCTTAACTAATATTGTCTGGCCAGTTTTGTTGTGTTTTGGTGTTTATACCTTTGTAATGTGTGGACATCAGAATTCCTAGCTATATTTCATTTCTACACACACTCATAATTATGTGGATTGTATGTAGATTATACAATTGATAGGAATTAACCGTAATATTTGTTCGACATTGTACTCTTGCCAGAGATGTGAATCCTCTAATACAGGTGGTTGGTTCGGTAGTGAAACTTCAGATTTTACACTCGGAAACGTCTTTAGGTCTAGTTTACTTCGTGATGCTTGTAAAAGATGGCAGTTGTGCTGTTTTTCATCCTTGACTTCAGATGTCTGTGACGAGGTTACCCCTGAAAGGTTGTGGGAGGTATTTGATTTTCCAAACCTGGAATCTAGATGATGATCTTATCCTATGAACATGGATACTGTCTATTCATGGTTTGAGTTAAACCTTGTATTGTTGATTCCTGCAGAATCTTAGACCCGTTATTTCATACCTTCCATCTAAAGAACTGGAATTGGTCCATAACGCTCTTAAGGTCAGCTCTCACTTACACTAAATAAATTATGTAGCATGCTCTTCCCACCAACCCCATTATTTCAAATTGGTGGTTATTTTCAAACTAAAAATAGAATTACTGGTTTGCAGCTAGCTTTTGAGGCTCATGATGGTCAGAAGCGACGCAGTGGAGAGCCCTTCATCATCCATCCAGTTGAAGTAGCACGCATTCTAGGAGAACTTGTGAGACTTCAAAGTGAACAAAATATGACCTTATTTATTGCATTATCTTTTACATTCTATTATGAAGTTACACAGAATTTTCCTTACAGGAATTGGACTGGGAGTCAATTGCTGCCGGATTACTACACGATACAGTTGAGGATACCTATGTTGTGACCTTTGAAAGAATAGAAGAGGAGTTTGGTGCCACTGTGCGCCGCATTGTAGAAGGAGAAACCAAGGTACACATAAATTTCTTGTCACGTCGGTTTAACTTCCAAATTATATATAACTGGTTTCATTTTATCTTTATTGTGATTAGGTATCTAAGTTGGGAAAATTGAAGTGTAAGAATGAAAAGGATTCAGTACAAGATGTAAAAGCGGATGACCTGAGGCAGATGTTTCTAGCCATGACAGAGGAGGTGACCTCTTTATCATTATGTATGCTATTTGATGTGTATATTTTTACTGTTAGCCAATTTTGCTACTAAGATGCAAGTTCTTCCAGGTTCGTGTTATAATCGTCAAACTAGCTGACAGATTACATAACATGCGTACTCTTTCACACATGCCTCCACATAAGCAGGTGCCTTGATATTCATTTAAAGTTCTTTCTTTATTGACTAGTTTTTTGATGACTTCCTGTTACATGTGATATTATTTTGTGTTCAGTCCAGCATATCAAGGGAGACATTACAGGTCTTTGCTCCTCTAGCCAAGTTGCTTGGGATGTACCAAATTAAGGTATTTTCTCTTCCATTCTATTTTCTATTTGTACTTTTGACTTCTTGATATTTTGATGTCCAGTTTCTATTACTAGAACGTTATGATTGACTTGATTACAATCAGGTGTAATTTTCATGATTTGGTATCTCCTCTCAAGTTATTATTTTCTGAAATGCTGAAATACGGTATATTGATATCCGAATTTTGAACATTCAATCAAAGGGATTGTAAATTGACCACATTCAAATAATTTGCTGGTAATATATTGCAGTCAGAACTTGAGAATCTTTCCTTCATGTATACAAATCCTGAAGATTATGCTAAAGTCAAGAGAAGAGTTGCAGACCTCTATAAAGAGCACGAAAAGGAACTTGTGGAGGTAAGACTCTAAGGACTTTCAAATTCATGGTCGCCATTCTGATGTCAGATGGATATGTCATGTCTAGCTTCTAACACTTTGACCTATAATCTGCTCATCAAGACGGGGTATTTCTTTTACAGGCAAACAAAATTTTGATGAAGAAGCTTGAGGATGATCAGTTCTTAGACCTTATGACTGTGAAAACTGAAGTTCGTGCTGTATTCAAGGATTCTTACAGGTCATTGATGAATCTCTGTTTTACAATTTTTCTTGTTGCACTCTATACTTGATATTTTTTCTGTTTAAAATTCCTTTACTATTTTTTGGTAGAGCCTGTTGTAATTTTATTTTCAAGGAAATGGGTTTGAATGAGTCTTGCAATTTACTTGCAGTATCTATAAATCTGTGCTGAAATCTAAAGGATCAATCAATGAAGTTAACCAAATTGCACAGGTTTGTCCTGATACTTTCTTAAATTAATTTTGAGAACATATCTGGGAAAGTTAGTATGATTCATATATTCTTAGACCAAAAGTTGCATATGCTATCATCAGCTTCGTATTATCATAAAGCCAAAACCATGCGTTGGAGTTGGGCCTTTGTGTGCGCCACAGCAGGTTAGACTTGTTTGAGCCAAAGAAATCAGTTGTCCTTTGCTGCACATATTCAATCAAGCTGTTTCTTATAGTTGTCTTCTCTGCAGATTTGCTACCATGTTCTTGGATTGGTCCATGGAATCTGGACTCCCATTCCTCGATCAGTGCGTATACTTCGTTTTCTGTTTAATACCCAAAATTGCATGTTTGCAGAACAGCAGAAGTCCTAATAGATATCTCTTTTAACAGATGAAAGATTATATTGCAACCCCAAAACCTAATGGTTACCAGAGTCTCCATACAACTGTAATCCCTTTCCTTTACGAGAGCATGTTTCGGCTAGAAGTACAGGTAATCTTGGGTTTTTTATTTTTGAAAATGTGTTATTTTTCTCAAGTATCTCAAAGCGCGTGCCGTAAATTGCCATTCGATTTCATGCTATACTCGAGATTGTGTCATTTGGAGTTCATTTTATCCCCAGCGATATGTTACTTCTACACATTTGATTTAATCATTTCCTGACAGATAAGAACTGAAGAGATGGATCTGATCGCTGAAAGAGGCATTGCTGCTCATTATTGTGGGAAAGTATTTGTTACGGGTTTAGTTGGACATGCTATGCCTAACGGTAAAAGTTCAAGAGGAAAGCCTGTGTGTCTGAACAACGCAAACATTGCACTCAGGGTATTTTTCCTGTTCTCATTGCTGATTTCTAGGCCCTTTTCCCATTCTGATTTTTTGTAGTGTTTTGTTTAAGGAGGACTACTTGTCCTCTATTTATTTTACTCTTTTTTTTATATCAATGAAGTTTGACTTAATAAAAATAAAAAAAATAGTTGCACGTCGTGCTTGAAAGGTGTTTCTAGTAAACCCTTTCAATTCTCCTGACTTTGATGCTAATTTAATGTATAAAGTCTTTGTTTCCTTCAGATTGGCTGGCTCAATGCAATTAGAGAATGGCAAGAGGAGTTTGTTGGCAACATGAGCTCTAGGGAATTTGTAGACACTATCACAAGAGACCTGTTGGGTAGTCGTGTCTTTGTGTTTACTCCAAGGGGAGAGGTGATTTGTCGTGGTTTTTTTTTTTTTTTGGTTATTGGATTATGAAAAAAGGAGTTAATTAAAAACTTCATGGCGTATTGGGTTTTAGCGTCCTTACATTGATCTTTTCAACATGTACAGATAAAAAATCTGCCCAGAGGAGCAACCGTGATTGACTATGCTTACATGATACACACTGAAATTGGCAACAAAATGGTGGCTGCGAAGGTACTCTTCTCACTTTTGAGTTTTATATATTTTGTGTGTCAACTTTTGCTCCTAAATTATGGGGAAATAAAAGTCCTCAGTCTTCACCCTAACTTTATCTAAATCGAATGCAGGTCAACGGAAATCTTGTTGCTCCCATGCATGTACTTTCAAATGCTGAAGTTGTGGAGATAATCTCATATAATGTCAGTACTTGTCAGCTATGATCCTATACTATTTTCAATTATATTTAATAATGTTGATAAGTCTACGAGAATTCCTTGCATATGATCAACGAAAAGATGTTTTTAATTTTTTTTAACTAGAGGAAACTATGCATGTTGCTATCTGGGTCTTATGCTACAAGATTAGATGATTTCTGTTGGGACTTGGGTTAGTGAATGTGTGTACACGTGCGTTATGCTTCTTTTCACGCACCTTCAAAATCATAATGAAAATCATAATAGGTTTTGTTTATAACCCTTAGCAATTAGCATGTCGTTCTTATGGAAACCATGATTTTTGCTTAAATTTGAAGTCGTTAAGTTACAGCCATAAGTCTGCATTCAGTTGTCTTGTGATGCTTTTCTCGCTCACAACTTTTTTTTTTCCCCAGGCTCTTTCTGGAAAATCTGCTTTTCAGAGGCATAAGCAGTGGTTGCAACATGCAAAAACGCGTAGTGCTAGACACAAAATTATGAAAGTAGGCTTTCATGCTCCAAGAGTTTTTTCTATTTCATTCAAACAGAAATAACCAGTTTATTTTTCCTAATTGTCTAATTTTATTCTATATAGTTCTTAAGGGAGCAAGCTGCGCTCTCAGCAGCTGAAATAACAGCTGATTCAGTAAATGATTTCGTTTCTGAGGAGGAGAGTGAAGCAGAGGAACTGCCAGATGCCCTAAAAGGATACAAACCTGTGTGGAACAAAATCCTCACGAACGTCATGGGATTGTCATCACGAGGTCGTGATTCCAAAGGTTCTGTTCACAATAAAAATGGAAGTGTTTGGGTTCCGAAGGTGAATGGGAAACACAGCAAGCATGTGCAGAATGTAAGTTTGAAGGTTGAAGGGGAATTGTTGCCGCAGGGAATTAGTGTTGCCAGGACGATGCAAGCTAATATTCCAATGTACAAGGAGGTCTTGCCTGGTTTAGAAAGCTGGCAAGCTGGCAAGATAGCATCTTGGCACAATATAGAAGGCCACTCCATCCTCTGGCTTTGTGTGGTTTCTATAGATCGAAGAGGTAATTAATTTGTATTTATTTATAAATATAATTGATCGTGGTTTTCTTCCCTCTTTTTCTGTATGTTTGAATTATTTGTGGCACATTGGTGCTAGCTGACTCCGAGAGCAACTCAGAACAAGCCTAAAGATGTCAGCTTAAATTATTTAGCTTAATACTTAAGTTTTTATTATTTTTTTCCCATCCTTTTATTAACCAACTTTGGAAACACGTGGCGCAAAGTTGTCGTCCAAGTGGTTTTAGGATGAAAAACTTCGTGACGAGTCCACTAATACGCACAACTTGTCATCTGTTTTAGTCTGTTTTAGACTTTCTATCGTATGTGGAAGTAATGGTTTCAACGTTAATTTCAGGCATGATGGCTGAGGTCACAACAACATTGGCAGCTGCAGGGATCACAATATGTTCTTGTGTGGTGAGCACTTTATAGCATAATTAATTAAATAAATGATGGTTTTTTGGGTGAAATTGCATCGCCTTTAGAAACAGAGCACTTTTATTTAGATTTGAATTTACATTCACATATTTACCCTCAATGACCAGGCCGAGATCGATGGAGGAAGAGGAATGGCTGTCATGTTATTTCACGTTGAATGCAACATAGAGAATTTGGTACTGCATCGAGCATTCCATATCTCTCATTCCTTTGTTTTTTTCCGCATACAGCTTTTCACTCCTGACGTGAAACTGATTCTTACTCAGGTTAATGCTTGCTCCAGCATTGACGCAATTGTCGGTGTATTGGGATGGTCTACGGGTTGCAGTTGGTCAAGTTCAATCGATAACCCAGAAATTCTTGAATGCTAATTAATCGGTGGTACCGGCCAGCCAACTATCTCACACAGCAATGGCAGGCTTTGGTATAAAGTTTTGTCCTCAGAAATTAAGATTTCAGTACGTTAAAAATAGATTCCCGGTAAAAGAGCTTTTTAGTTTTTTCATATTAATTTGTTGGACCCTCGGTAACAGCCAGTTGAGCAAAGTCTCTGGATTCAGGGCACTGTATATAGGAAAAATAGTGCATAGTTAGGTTTAGCATACATTTTGTAAAAAATAGGGGACAAGTGAAACACCTATACAGAGGTTGTACCAATCTTTGTGCAATACATATTTTTGCTGGAGTGGTACAATACATATATTTTCTTTTCTGAATCCTGCCATTACTCTTTCATTTTCCCCCTTCATTTGTTCATTGCTTTTTTTTTTTCTCGAGTTGGTTGGATTAATGCTTAAAGACCTTCTAGCCTAGAATAATTTCTCATATCCTTCTCTTCTTGCTTGAACACAAAAATCACAGAGAGATTTTCCCATTGGATGGATTCAACTCAAGAACCATAGGGCATGTTCTTTTGTAGTGTAACTTGAGTGTAATTTTTGAGTTGAATTTGAGTTATAACTTGAGTTGAAGTTGTAACTTGAATAAAGTTGAGTAAAGTTGAATAAAATTGAAACTTAAAAGAACGTGAACTTAAATAAAGTTGTAACTTGAGTTTAAATTTTTTCTGAGTTTTGTTGCAAAAGAACAACCCCATAGTCTCTCTAGATTTTGGCATTAACAACTAGACCTGACCAGTAACAGAACAAACAATATCGTAGTGTTAATGCAATATCTACACTCAACTAGTCAAATTATTTATAGCAGAGTTTTGAAGTTAACTGAACAGCAAGAGAACCGCGGAGAGAGCTTTACGAGGAATGGGGTAAATTAGCAGAAAATACAATACGAGCATCAACAGCGTCAGAAGTCGAACCCAAAGCTTCGATATCTGTCTGTTTATTGTCATATTCTCCTCGCTTGCTTTGTTGTTGAAGACACTGGCACTGTTGAACCGGGTAGGCTTTTCTGTTTGGCCTGTTTTATATTCTTTTCCACTCCTCTGTGGTTGGCTTGCTTCTTCTAGTTCTGGCATTGTGTCCTCAATCATCTCTGCTGGCCAAACAGTGTCAGTGTTCGATTCCATCGAAGAGTGCCCCGTATCATCAGAGCCTTCATTGTCGTTCTCTGCAACACTTTCCTCCTCATCTTCCCCGTCTTCAGCGGAATGCATATCTGAATCCTGATCTGCTGAAGATGTTTCTTCGCTGTTCTTGACTTCGTCAGTGATTTCTGTGGGTACTGGGTCCTCATTATCATACTTCTCGTCTTGGACGGCACCAAAATCGTCGCTTAACTTGATGATTTCTTTTTCCTGAGAATCGGGAAGAACCATTTCTGATATCCTTGTGCCATCACTTTCAGTCGTCAGTCTCTGTTCCTGCTCCAAGTTAGTGCCAAGACTAAGGACGTGTTTACTAAACCGGTTGGAATCGAAAATATGATTACCTTCCTATCGTTTTCTCATGTATTGAAATTGTGCTATTCAAGTATTTACTAAATTTAAAAATAAGAATCTTATCGATTCAATTACTAAGATGTATTATTCATAAATAATTATTAACTCGGCATGGATATACAAATAAATTTAGCATTATTTCAATTAAGCTAACCATTGCCATTGACACTTTATTTTCTTATTTCCTACGTTTGTGTATAGACCCTACCAAACAAAAACTACTGTTGCTGATTTTGCAAAAGATACTCTTTTACTTTTTTTTCCATTCACGTATAGTGTTTATCAAAGGGACCAAATTACCGAAAAGCAAACTTTGCTTGGTAGGAACTCACGTTGACTTGGGTGATAACGCCCATAGTTGAACTCCCATGGCCTGCGCAACTGCAACTCCAAAAAAATAAAAAAAATAAAAAATAAAAAAAAATCCTTTTGGTTAATAAATTAAATAATAATGATGATGATAATAAGCACAAGTAATATGTTAATTGAAATTTCAAAGGTCACAAGTATTTCTCACCTTGAACTGCTAAGCCTAAGAGCCACCGATGAAGAAGTTTGAAGAAGACAGCGTAGTCCTTGGCTTCCATGATCTTCTCTCTTCTTTAGCCAACCACCGTTGGATCTTTGGGATACTTTGGTGGCCGCAGTTGTTGGGTTCTTATCATTGGAATCTCTTGTTTTGTTTCTCTTACTTGCAAAAATAGCCATTAATAAACCTCCAATAACCAAGGCACCGCCAACGACAACCAACCCTCCTATATCACCGCCTGCGCTTATTTGTGTCGTTTTCTTTTTTCCTTTGCCTTTTCCGTTATTCTCCATGTCGTTGTTGTTCATCTTTTCTTCCTTTTGACTATCTTGGGGAGACATTTTATTAGAAGATGAGAATTTTTTTGTCGTTGGCGTTGGGGTTTGTTTTATTGAGTGTCGAAAGAAGTGAGGTATCAACCTCGGCGCTTGAACCGGACTTGTTTGTGTGTAGATTCTCTACTTGGCATCTTTCTTTGCTTCTCACCAAGTTTGCGAATTGCGGGTATAGAATCTGCTAATCTCACGGCATCATGTGAAGTTTGTGTGCTTCGTTTTGTTTGTTGACTCACCGACCCTCGCAGCCTTGGCCCTAATTTTTTATTTTTTTTTTCTTTTGGGGGCTAATAAATAGAGTCGGCAACTATTGTGTTGACTTTGTTTGGTGCACTAGTAATTTTCTTTAAGGGTAATTAACCGTATCAATAGCCAAAAAGCATATTACAATCATCTAACAACTAATTCAACTCTAACAACCAGTTAAAAAAAAAAAACGTTTAGAGACGCCATTAATATTAAACACCATCATTAATAAAAGATAAACTCTATTTATAAATTTTAAATTGTGAAATTCATCTTCTATTACTAGATAGTGTTTAACACTACTGGTATCTCACCAGCAAAATCAACGAAGTACAATCATTTTATCAAAACATGATCAACCCATAAACTAGTAACCATTAGAGACTGGTTGAGGTTCTGTGGTGAAAAAGAAAGGCCCAACAGTGTACATTTTCATCTTCTTCTCCTCAAGGAAGTGATGGGAAGAAAGGAGTGCACCACTAACAGCATTGTTAACATCCATCGGATCATTACACGTGTCGGATGGAGAGAGCTCGAGAAATGCCTTGCATTTTGTAAGCTTTCTATTGGCTGAAATCTCTGAAGGACACAATGTTGCCAAGAAATAACCATTTCCTTTAGTCGCTTCACTCAAGAACGAGAACGGCGTCGTTTCGAAACCGACCTTATCGACAGCATCACATGTTATCCTCACCACAGCTCCTGTATGACATAAATAATTTGAGGAAGAATAAATTAAGTACACGTATTGAAGTTCAATTAGCAAAGTCAATAATCTTTTTGAAATATCAGCGACTTTCTTTAATTTATATTATTTTCCCCTTTATTTGTGTGCATATGTTTGTACCCTTCATGCCCATCTTGACATTAATTGCTGTTTTTTTAAGGGAATTAATTTCTGATTCTAGTAGATTAATAATATAATTTTCTAAAAGATCTCATATGTTTTAAGAAGCTTATGCATTGGGCACAAAAAATAATTCTCTAATATTGGTATGAGGAAATGTCTATGATCAACTATAAGCTTTTTATTAATTTTTTTTTTTTACGTCAGTTAGATTATGATGCGACATATATAACATGTTCTGTTAGTTTTTTAGTTTTTCATTAGATAGATTTGAGTTTTTTTTTTTTCTTAATACCCAGAAATCTTTCCAACCTACTTTATGAGCTTTTTTTTTACAAGAAAAAAAAAATATTGGTATCATCGCATTCTCATCTCGTTGTCTATAGAAAAAATCTCAGAGTAGTTAAATTTTAACTTAATTTCCAAATAATATGTATATGTTTGCTAAAAAAAGAATAATGTATAATAATTAGGCTGAAAATTAATGAAATTACCTTCGAGAGGGAAGGGTTGATCGTGGCCTTCTTTGCAGTAAACCATTCCCTGAATGGCTATAGTTGTAGATAATATATTGTCGTTTTCTGGCTTGGGCTTCTCATCAGAATAAGGGTTTGAGCCATTATATTTATACTTACCATCATAATTAGCCGAAGAAAGAACCAGAATTGTCAAGAGAAGCAAGGAGATTGCAGAGAAGGAACACTGGAATTTAAGATAAGCCATATGAATATAGATTAGGTCTCACTTGGGGCGTTTTATAGGAGATGGTTGGAATATTGAATAAATTTAGTGGGAACTAACTCGGTTGCACGATATGTAGCTAGGAAAGGAATCTAAGGTTGGTAATAGTTGTTCAAATAATTGGGATCCCATTTTGTTTCATTAATTTTGGAAAGCATTTTTCTGTTTCAAAATTCAATGCATCTAATTTGGAGGACTTGATAGAGATATATAATTTCAAATTAAACCCTTGAAGAATAGTGGTTGTTTTATTTTGCCCCGTATAATTCAAAATGACATAAAAAAAAGCCATTGAAACTTTGGTACTTAGATCTTTGAGACATCCATTTTTTTGATGATTTTAATCATGTGGGGTTCAAATGACTACTCAATAACTAAAATGGTTAAAAAATGAGGTTTCATTGGCAAAAGTACTAAAATTACAACTTATAATAAGTTCGGGGCTAGTTTTGTGGCATTTTCAACTTTAAGGAATAAAGTGAGATGATTCTTTTTTTTTTTTTTGCCGGGGGGTGGGGATCGACTATGAAATTAATCCGTGGACGTTTGATTTACGGATTCAAAACTCGATTTACATATGTTTTTTACGAGAGAAAATATTATAGTGAGTCACGAACCACAATTCGAACCATGACACGAATCCTCATACTAATTTTCATTTAGAGATTGGATCCTTGTACGTTTTCTGGATCCTTGTACGTTTTCTATTTGCATTTTTTAAACAAACTAGTTGCTCTCAGGATTTCGTTTTCGTTTGCACCTCTTATTTGGTTGTTTCTTGTTTTATTGACATTTGTGTCGTTGAATTCTTGTTAGAATGTCTTAAATTTCTCAGCTTTCAATTTCCTTTTTCTCTCCGTTTAGAGGGGAGAAAAAGGTTATTGCTTTTTTTTTTTGAGATTTTTTAGTACGCTTGGCGTACTAGTAGGTCAAGTTTTTTTAACTATTGGATTTACGTACTTTTTAATTTTTATATGATTTTATATAGATCTGACGGACAGAAAACTTAACCTACCAGTACGTTGGTGTAGCAGAGAAAGTCCATTTTTTTCATTTGACCGAATTTTAAGTTTTTTTTGTTTTTTTTTTGTTTTTTGTTTTTCATATAATAATGTCATTCATATAAAGTTATGTTTCTGAAGATTATTGCCATGTTTCCTCTATTTTCGTTTTTATTTGTTCCGTTATCGTCTTTGGATTGTTGTCGTCTTTCATGTGATGCCGTTTACTTCTCCTGCTAACCGAGTAACCAAATATACATAGAAACTAGAAAGAAGAGTATTAGCTATCGGACAACGGCTCCATTTTCCACCCACCAAAAAAAAAAAAAAAAAGGAAGAAGAAGAAGAAAGTTTATCGTGAAAGTACCATATGGAAGATGCTGCACCAGCTAGCTAGTAATAAAATTGTTCAAACAAAAATGGTGATTTTAATCTTCTGGACGCAACAATGGTGGTAATTATTTTCTAATGCACTCACTAAATTAGTTTACCATTTTTTTTTCAAGTTATTGAGTGACATCTTTCTTACTATACAGATATCCATGTGGTATAGATACACAATACTCTTAATCACTCTATATTTATCATCTGAATCTATGCTCACATGTATTGTTGACAGTAAAAATTCATCAACAGAATAATAATAAATTTCTTAACAGTTTGCACGAATTAAATGATCTAAAACGCAATTTAAAACAATTGAAAAGGAAGAACACACGAGAATTATAATAGTTCACCCTCGATTTGAGAGCTACGTTCATTGTGGGGAGAAGAGAAATTTCACTTCTTTTGGAGGAATTACAAGCACTAATGATGAATATGAGACTTGGCGATTTTCTTATCTATTATCAATTATTTATACCCTAAATCACCGCCCCTGATTGTTTCCTTATTTAAATTTGGGATATTTCCCTTATCTTTTGAGATAGTTTTCCAAAAGATAGAGATTATAATCAATCAGAGCGGTTTGCATATTTGAATTTCATATTTTTAGATTAGGAATAGTAAACCTCGTAGGAAATCCTTCAAATCTTTATCTTTACGTAGCCTCGATTCCGTAGTTGCTTCCTTTAGCCTCTCTCCTTTTGTCTGTGAGTGCGATCGACCTCTTGTCTCTTTCTCACAACAGTCGACCTCTTATTTATATCTGATGCCTTCTTATAGCGGTCGACTTTTAAGAAAGTTGTTTAATGATGTGGCTTTTAGGGCGGATTGATCATTTAATATTCTTATTTATGGTCCGCAGGCTCCCACTTAGTGTCTATTTTAGGATTCGATGTTTTACCCTACAACATGTAGTTACGTATGTCTGTATTCTTATTTAAGTGTATTTATACGTATTATCATATCAGTACCAACAAAGTACGTATATAAAAATAGCAGGGGATACTTTTTTTTTCTTTGTTTTTTTTTTTTTTTCACTTTGTCCTGCATGGGCTATGCGAGTTGTATTTTTTTCTTTTAGGAGACAAATAATTGCAAATGACATACACTCAATCGACAAAAAAGCTTTACTAATAGTACAGGCCTCTCTGAAACAGCAAAGGATGCTTTTTGGGCTATATGTGCAAGTGCAACCCTTCTTTACAGAAAATGAATGAATCCTCACAACCCCCAAAAAAAAAAAAAAAAAAAAAAAAAAAAAATAAAAAAAAACCCCTCCCTTTTTTTCTCAACCCCCCCCAAGAAAAAAAAAAAAACAAACAAGAAACATTAATAATAAGTACTCGTCCCTTCTTTTCTCAAACTCCCAATTCAAAATTCAAAAAAATATAGCGACAAAATAATCAAACTCACAAATTAAACGTAACAATATTGTTTAATAGCCATTAGGAATTGGGGTCTTATAATTAGGTTCTGAAGTGTAGAAGAAAGGTCCGACGGAGTAGAGTTTGGCGTTGTTGTGGCTGAGGATGCTATAAGAAGAGAGAAGATGGCCGGTAACGCCATTGTTAACGTCGGTTGAGAATTTGCATGCCTCCAATGGAGAGTGATCAAGGTACGCCTTGCAATCCTTGATTTTCCATTCATTATAATTAATGCCAAGTGATTTTGGTGGAGATATAGTTGTATAGAAATAGCCCTTTGAATCGCATGCCTTACTTCGAACTGAGAAATAAGTTGTCTTATGGCTTTTCTCATCAACAGCTAGGCATGTTATCCTTGCCACAGCTCCTGCAGTACTCATACATAACATTAGATTATGCTAACCATGAATAACTCAGAACATAATTTGTAACCATAAATGAAAATATTTAGCGATTTATGTTGTCATCGATCGACAAAACACGCGGCAAAAAGTTTGTCAAAAAAAAAAAAAAATTCTTGTGTCTAAGAGTACTTTTCGTTATAACAAACTCCACCGGACTGTATAAAGTTTGCAGCTAAAACTATATCAGTAGCGAGTTATTTATGATAACTAGTGATTTTATGTACTTTTAATGTTCGTATAATTAGAAGGTTAGAGAAAATGGATAGCCAGTTGTTAATTACTCGTATAATTACCTGGGATAGGGAAGTTTTTAAGGCCTGATTTACACAAAACAAGGCCTTGAACACCAATGGTTCTTGGAAGTATATTCTTTTTTCCTTTTGGAACTGGCTCTTTGTAGTATGGTTTTGTATAATTAGGGACAAGCTTTTCTTCTCCTTCTTCTGGCTTCGGCGTCTCGTAGACTGGTTTCGAGGGAAGAATATTTTCTTTCACTTCTGTCTTTGGCTGCTCATGATCTGGTTTTTTTATGGGAATTAGCTTCTCTTTCCTTTCTGGCTTCGGTTGGCCGTAGTTATTCGGTTTCACTGGAAGAATCTTTACCTTTCCCTCCAGTACCTTTGGATGAACATATTTAATTGGTTTTGTAGGATAAAACTTTACCTTGTGATCTTCTGGTTTCACCTGCTTATATTCTGGTTTTGGTGTTTGATCATATTTTGGTAGCTTTTCTTTTTCCTCTGTTGGCTTCTGTGCTTCGTAGTCTTTGGGTTTAGAATCATACCCTGAATAATCAGAAGCGGAGGCAAGAATTAACAAGGACAATAGAAGAATAGAGGTCATACAGAAGCTGGAACAAGCCATTGATTTTCAGAGAGAGAGAGAGAGAGAGGTGAGGGGTGAAGTGAGGATCCAACAGTGGATCATGTCGTTTTATAGGAGGAAAATCCAAGTATAATAACATATTTTACAGGATAAATTAAATACAGAAAAAGATGTCCAGAGACTAAGTTGGTTGCATGTCAATGAAGAAGAAAAAGGAAAGTTCATGAATGCTTACACTCAAGCCATAAAGTCAATTTCTTTAAAAATATTGGCCGCAATTCCTTTGAATTAAGACGTGCAGCCATTATTTGCCTCCCAAGAAAACAACTAACCGACCATAAGCCTGGAACTTCCAATAATGCAAACCCAAACCTCTCATACTTTGCTTTTAAGGTGCGGTGTTTTTCTTTTCTTGGTTATTGTAACCTTATGGCCCACTTCGTTTTGTTTATTTGAGTTGACAATTTGAGTTAAAAAATAAATTTACGTGAAAAAAATATTATAGCACGAAAAAATTAAATTTACATTTTTATAAAAAAAAAACTATTATAATAAAAATTTAAATTGTGATTGGCCTATAATTGTGTGAAAAAAATATTATAACACGAAAAAATTAAATTTACATTTTTATAAAAAAAAACTATTATAATAAAAATTTAAATTGTGATTGGCCTATAATTGTCGGTATCATCAAAGTTCATGAAAGTCACTTGCGTAAGATTGAAATTCATATAACTAGTTGACAACATTTTGGCTATAAGTTGACCAGCGAACTCTGTTAAGAGTAAATGCGACAATATTGTACGTGTTGTCTGCCATTAGGTGTACAGGTTTCTTATGAGGCTCGGAAGTGTATTCAAATTGATTAATTAAATCGGTCGATTCTTACTACTTGTACATGATTAGTAGTAGATCGACAAATTTTGTATGTATCTAGAATGTGGAGGTCGATTTCCAACGTTAAAATTTGTATGAGGGGTTAATGACCAATTCGCCAAGTGGTGGATGTTTGATCCGTTTATCTAAGATGATTTAGCGTATGAGCGATGATTAACGCTCAAAAGTTATGTTCACAAGCGGTCAATTGTAGCATAGAAGGGCAGTCGTATCCACAGAGAGGTAACAAAATAACAAGAAAAATTAGCAGAATAAGAGCGTTAGAGAAAAATAAATAATAAGGCAATTAAAGAAAAAGAAGAGTTTTTGAGATTTTTATTGCAAATAAAAAAGTAGAGAAGATTTGTGTGGAAAAAATTTAATAATAAAAACGGTAAGGTGTTGAGAATCCCTAATGTTTCGTTCACCAATTCAAGTTTTGATTCACAAAATAAAAGAATCGAATAAATTAAATCTCTATGTTGACTCCGAAAATATTATTATTACAAGTTATCCAAAATCGACAATATATCAATTTGACAATATTACAGTAAAAGACAATTTGTAAAACAACTTGAATAACAAAACAATACATGACATAATTACATAAGAAAAACGTGACTGAACTTATATAAAAATTTACACACAATATTTTGAAAAGTAAAAGAAAAATAGATGAGATTTAATTCATTCAAATATTAAACTTTTTCAGCACAAGGAATCAAAAGCCCGAGAATTGGGTCACTCAACAAAAGTTCGTCTCTAATCTCACCAAGAAAACTCTAGCCTAGCTTGCAAAACATTCTCACAAGTTCTAAAGAGAAACTATGAGAGTGACAGTAAGACGACATAAAATTGAATATTAAAAGCTCCCTAAAACCTTAGGCAAACCCCCCTATTTATAGTGTTCAGAGGTTGCATGTCAAATAAGAAAACAAACAATAAAAATAGAAAATTTACAAAAGAAAATGAAACAAAATAAAATTACACATAAATTAGGAGAAATCAAATATATGATTTGGGGAGGAAATCCGGTAATTTGCTCTGATTTTTGGGAAGAAATTCAGATTCAGCGCCAAAGGGGACACATGTCGCAACGTGATTGGCAGTGAGGAGAAAACGCGCCACGTGTCGCGGCGAAATGGTTAAAGCTTGCTGGCGCGGGCAGAGTGGAGGACAACTGAGTGACAGATGTCACGCGCGGAGGAAAGGAGCAGGCTGGCGTGAGCAGGCGCGGGGTCCACAGTCAACAGCTGGCGCGCACTTAGTGGACAAGCAGGCTAGCGCACTGACTTGCGGGGCCCACGCGGCTAGAGACTCGAACACACTGGTGAGTGCGCGTCATGCGAACGCGCGCCCTGGGGCCTTGCGTGCTGGTGTGGGGGCAACGTGAGATGGCGAGAAGAATTTAGGCACGGATTTCCGCGCTGACTGGTGGGGCCCGCTTCATTTGGCTTGGCTGAAGGGTGGCGTGGCTCTCTCTGATTGGCTCAGCTTGTGTGGCTCAGATTGGCTAAAAATATGGCTTTCATGGCTTTTCTTGTCTAGTTTCTCACACTACTTTTTATATATAAATAATTAAGCAAAAACTAGACAAATTCCAATTAAAAATATTATAAATAAAAATAATGGAATTGTTTAATTAAAGCTTAAATATTTTAATATTATATAAATCAAAAGCAGTATTTAGGGTGTATTTTCATGTACTAATCAAGCGACAAAGTAAGGTGTGAAAAATAAAGAGGAGATACTGAAATTTATAGTGATTCTCCTGATAACTTAGGGTACATCTACTGCAGTATTCGTTGTTTGTACTATGTATGTAGAGAATAGTACAAAGAAGCTTAATAAAGCTTGAGAGAGACAATAATGGAGGAAAGAGAGAGAGAAAGAGGGCGGCTCTAGGCGAATTGCAATTACAGAGGTGGTGCACGAATTTGTGTCTTGGAATGCCTTGGAATGACTTGGAATGTCCTTGATGTTCTGGGAATACCTCTTTTTATAGCTGTAAGGTGTGGTTGATCATTTAAGGCTAGTTTTCCTTTTCTTCGTAGAGTTGATTTTCCCGATTGTGTCTTTGATCTTGTTTCCTCATTCACTTCGTATCTTCTGAGATTTGGACCACCTTTAGTGCGATTTGGTCGCTTCCAAAATCTCAAAACGGAAGGTTCCTCAAAAGAATCTCATAATATTCTTCGAACCAATTGACTCCTCAGCTCTGTCGAGTAGTCACAGTCGACTCTAGAAGTTACTATCGATTCAGGCTGAACTTAAATTTGGGCCGTCTTCTAATTGTCTTTGGTTACTCAATGTGCTTGGATGGTCTTCTTAGTTGTTGAATCCTTCTAAGAGGTCCTCTTAGATGATGGTTTTCAAGTCTAGTCGACTCAAATTGACACATGTGTACGGTTGAAATTGAGTTACAAAATCTGACCCCAAACATAGAACCAACTAATATTAACGGTTTTGTACATAAGATGGTCACCTCCGGAAGTAAAATAACTAGTGTATGTTCTCAACCTTCCAATGCAGTGGTGATTATGACATGATAATTCCACATTTGGAAACCATTTATAGGTGGTTTGCGATGATTATCGCTGTAATAAGCATTTCATTATAGTATTACATAACAACGGATCATTGGAGACTGAGAAAGATTTGAAATCGATATTTGACAGGCTGGTTATTGCTAGATACATTTTCGTCGTTTTTTCAGTCTGCTTGTCGTTATTGTTTTTGTCATTTTGAAGTATTTGTCGTTTTCCAATCATTGTCGTTTTGATTTTATATAGTTTTTAGGGCTCGTTTTGTATGGGTTCAACCTAATGGTTTTAATTATGACTTTTGAAAATTAATTTTTTTTAGAAAAAACGCTATAACATAATCAAAAACAATAAAAATACGTTTAGTTTTCATCATTCATCTAAATTTGTTTTGACGGTTTTGAATACTGATTAAAAAAAAAAATCTTCATGTCCTCTTTTCTTAATTTTCATCATTTGTATTGTCTTTTCAGAAATGTCCGGCGTCCGAATTTTTAAGTTGTTGTTTTCCAGTTTTCGTCCTTTATGAAGCGATCATATAGCATTCATTTTCTCATCGTTTTTCAGTTGTATTGTTGTTGTTTCTAATTAGTGTTGTTTCTTAGTAAACTGTTTCAGTTTATTGTCGACTTGTCGTTTTTAGTCTCCTTTTATTTTCAAGTCGTTTTCATTATTATTGTTGTTATTATTATTATTGTTTTTCGCTTTGTAGGTTGTAGTCGTTTTTTTCAAATTTGACCGATTATAAGTTAACGTCTCATTTTAGTTTTGACGTTTTAAAAAATGTTGTCGTTTTAAGTTTTGTAGTTTTGGGTTTTTGGCAGTTGCTCCACCAAGTAAAGCAATTTTTTTTGGGAGCACTGCCCATCATAGCATTTTTTTTTTTTAATGTTCCAAACATAGTATTAGGGATTAGAGCAGTCACTTTCGGCCTACCAAACAAACCAATCCGAAACCTAGCTCTTCGGCCCCTGCCTGACCCTACCCCACCCACATCAACACTTGGGTTGGTTCAGACTGGACGGAAGATGTACACCCAAAGTCTAATAGGCCACCCTTGTTTATTTTTTAAAAGAGAAAATGAGACAAATATTCTTTAGATTGTATGAGTATAAATTTTTACCTTTTATTTTTAATTAATATCATTTTTAATTAAATAATTATATTAGTCAAAAAGAATAATAATTAAGAATTAGGTTAGGTCAACCATATGCTCATGCTACGTCACGGTTCTTTAATTAGAAAATTGCGTAATATGCCACCAAAATTCATCAACTTTATATTTCAATCTTTGTTAATTTCAAAAGTATTGTACAAGAATACTCTTTGAAAATATCCCGCCATCTAAATATTAGACTTCATCACAACTCAAGTTTTTTTATGTGAGAGAAAACGTTGTATCAAAAAATTTGAATTTGAATTTTTGTAAGAGAAAATATTATAACAAAAAAGTTTGATTTAAATGGTTAAACTTTAAAGGAAATTAAATTCCAAAATCTTGTTTGTTTCACTAGTTTAGTTCAATTCAACTCAGTTTGAACAGTGAGCGTAGTATGAACTGACGTTTGATGAGCATACAGTTTGAATTATATTTTTTGTTTGAACTGAGTTAAACATCCGAATTTAGAGTTTAGCTCTCCCCTCAAGTTCAACTGTTCAAACCATTTTTTAACAGTAAAAAGTGCTCACTCTCTCTGCTTTTCACACCTACTAAACGGAAATTTGAATTTTCTTCCATGTTCAAATAAAACTTTAATAACACATCTAAACGTCAATTCAAACTATAATTTAAACCACACAGTTTAAATTTTTTTGTTCAAATTAAAAAGTTTAAACCAATAAAATTTAAATTAACGAACCAAACGAAGGTTAAATTAGACATTTTAACTCAATTCAAATAAAAAATATATTTTAAAATTAACATTTATCGATTATGAATTCAAACTCTATTTACTGTTTAAACTGAGTTAAATTGAATTAATAGTAAAACAAACGTGACATATTTTTCTCTCTTTAATAACCAGTGGAGCAGTGCCGAAACTTGCCACTTTTTTCTTCCATTTTGTCCTTACACGTGGCACATGAAACCGAAGGGAATATATACTATACCGATTACCGGACACTTCCAAGCTTTACACCGTCAACCATTCCCATGAGAGCTAATCCTCCTCCTCACCCTCCCAAGCCGGGCCCTACACCGCCCGACGAAGATCCGGAGCTGGCCCGGCCCACATCTGGCGTGTTGGGTCTATCCGTGGGCGGCGGGTTACGGAAGAAGGGGACGGGGGTGCGGCCATGGCTGCTAGTAGACTCGACGGGGCAGGCCCAGGTGGTGGAGGCCGGAAAACACGCAATCATGCGGCGGACGGGGCTGCCGGCGCGTGATCTCCGGATTCTCGACCCGCTTCTGTCGTACCCGTCGACAGTGCTGGGGCGTGAGAGGGCGATCGTCATAAACCTTGAGCACATCAAGGCCATAATCACCGCCCAAGAGGTCCTCCTCCTCAACTCCAGAGACCCCTCCGTCACCCCCTTCGTCGACGAGCTTCAGCGCCGCCTCACGCGCCACCATCAAGCCACCAAAGCCCGGGTGGGTTTTCCTCTCTTAATCCCTTTCTTTTGTGATTAATTCTTGTAATTTTCTCAAATTAGGGTTTCTTTTCGGCTTTCTAGTTCTTCGAATTGGTTTTGGGATTATGGTGTAACACTGTAAGTTTTTATTGCTTTTTCGTTTTTGATTCCAATTTCAATTTGAGTTAAATAATTCCACTCGAGGAATCTGAATTTGTAAACAATTCTTTCAGCAATTGAGCACGAGTTTATGGCCAATTTACTTGATTGCTTAATATTAATCAGATTTAGCTGTCTTTGGTCTTCTAAATTTAAACTCAATTAAACAAACGCGTAATCTGTTTGATATTTCTTAATGTGCTTTCTATTTGTGTATCTTTTGTTCTTGTATAGGAGGGCAATGGTGATGATTCAAACTGGAAAGATCTGTATGACATGGAAGAACCACAATCAAGTGGATATAGCCCTCAAAATTCTGGTGGAGGGTTTCCGGTTCCGCAGTTTCAGGACCGGGATGTGGAAGGCAAGGGGGAAGGGAAAGAAGGTCTTCAAAATCAAGATGGACTCAAGATTTTGCCATTCGAGTTTGTGGCGCTGGAGGCATGCCTTGAGGCAGCCTGTAGTGTCTTAGAAAATGAAGTAAATTTTAATTTTTGGTTCCGGTTTTAGCATCTGCTCACTTTTTTTTGTTCTGTAAAATTTTTGCTTATTTTTCTTTGATATTGATTGTTTTTGTTTGTATCTGGTTTGCAACCAGGCAAGGACGCTGGAGCTAGAAGCTCATCCTGCCTTAGATAAGCTGACTTCAAAAATTAGTACTCTCAATTTGGAACGCGTTCGTCAAATTAAGAGCCGCTTGGTTGCAATAACTGGACGTGTGCAAAAGGTTGACTGGTTTGAAATTGTTGATCTTCATATGCTTTACCTCTTAGTCCAATGTTCTTGTTTCATTCATTTCCAAGTTATGATTAACAATGCATACATGTCGATCTTTAGGTGAGGGACGAACTTGAGCATTTGCTAGATGATGATGAGGATATGGCGGAGATGTATCTGACTGACAAGTTGGTCCAGCAACAGCTTGAGAATTCCTCTACCTCTTCTATGAATGAGAGAGATGAAATGGATGATGAAGTTCTTCGATCAGACATGGATGAAAGGTACATAGATTAATCTGTCATTTTTTATATATGTTTGCCACCATTGGGTTGTTAAGATTTACTACTATGCCTTCAATTTTCCACTTACATTGTATCAGGGTCCCGACTGAAATCACAACCTATGAAGGTGATCTTCAAAACTCTGATAACCCCCAGAATCACTTGTTTGGAGCACCTAATGTTCTTAGTAGGGACAGCCACGGGACCCATACTAGTACAACTCATAGTGCCATAAGCAAAAACCTTGATGTGGAGGAGCTTGAAATGCTTTTAGAGGCTTACTTTGTGCAAATTGATGGTACACTAAACAAACTATCCACGGTATGCAACTCCACTTGAGCAATCCAATTCCAAACTTTGTGATATCAAGTTGAACTTAAATCAAAGCAAATTGGTCGCAGTGCTGTGTATGCTCTGTTGTCTTTCGCCTAAAGTGATTTATTAAACTCAAAGCTCAACACTTGAGATGCAATTTCCTTTTTTTTTTCTTTTCTTTTTCTGAAGTACTCTAGACGATTTCCTTTTTGATGTTGTGTACTTATCTGAGTAATACTCTGTCATTTCTTTTCATGAAGTTGAGAGAGTACGTAGATGACACGGAGGATTATATCAACATAATGCTGGATGACAAGCAGAACCATCTCCTGCAAATGGGGGTCATGTTGACAACAGCAACTCTTGTGGTGAGTGCCTTTGTCGTCGTGGCTGGTATCTTCGGCATGAACATCCACATTGAGCTCTTCGACGAAACGAAAGCTGGTATGCCAGAATTCTTGTGGACTATTGGTGGCGGTACCACTGGGTGCATTTTCTTATACGTCCTTGCTATTGCCTGGTGTAAGCACAAACGCTTACTGGAGTAATGAAAGGACTGACCAACTTTGTACAACCATGAGACGCAATTCAATTGAAGTGTGTGAATTGTGATATATTTGTCCTGCATGCTTTGTGTGGACACAAAAAAAATCTTCCTGTATGTGACTTGTGGCTATTACCATCTCGCAAATTTCGTAATTTGAATATACTAATCGTGCTATTTTCTTTTTCTTTCTTTTTTTTCCCCCTCTGAGAAACTGAATATGGTGTCAATGAGAATACCTACAGGTTGCCAATAGCCGCTACCCACGTGCTTTTCAACAGTAAATGTTATATAGGCAATCAATCGATAAAGGAACCCAAAATTGCTATCAATCTGAATAGTTTTATTATTTTTCGTATTATTATTGTTTCTATTTTCTAAAATCAAACTATTTTTTGATGGCAATCATTGTCCACTGCGTGTATGTGTACGACTTTTTGGACCAGGGATTGTACAAACAAAAGACTTCATGACGTGTAAATGCAAGTTAGAGTAAGGGGTATTTCGTAATTTAGCTCTAGAAGTGACATTGAGATAAACTTGTCCCAACATGGAAACCTCATCGTCTATCTTGATGCTCAGAAAAACGGGTGGCTAATAGTGGAAGGCTGAAATGAGCTCAATAGGGCAAAGCATTTTGATGGCTTTGACTGTTACGGTCAACAAATACGCTTCATCAAATGTACAGGCAGTTCATAGAAAGAGGAAAAGACCAACCACCGCAACTACTACTGATATTGGAAGAAGAGGGCTCTTCCTATCCACTGTCGTTGCAGCTCTCCAAGTCAGCGACTCTAGAACTGAACTTCTCAAAAGTATGGCTTACTTTTCTCTGCATAACTCCTTCAATGTCTTTCTCTTTTCCTCGGGTTGAATATTTGTATAAATGATTTTGCAATTGAAATATGTTCAGAATATCTCAAGAAGTCGGAGGAAAACAAAGCCAAAAATGACAAGGAGGTGAAGTTTTCTTCAACCCACGTACTCTTTTTGGGTGCTTCTTTTTTCTTTTGTTTTTTTTTTTGGGTCATATTTTACATGCGATTGGAAATTTTACTATGAATCCATTATTGTTTTGTTTAAGTATCATGAATGAAGACTAGTTTGAACTTTCAAACATAAAAGACTCTTTTATAGGGGTTGGCAGGTAGAAATTCTAATAGTAAGAGCAATTACCTAGCATATTTAAATTGGACATTTTTGAATCACCAATGGGGTGGTGTAGTACTTTAGATGACTTCCTTTTTATTTCCTTGGGTGATAAGTTTAAAGATTGATGTTTTATAGCCCGCCTTTAAGAACTACCGGTCAACAGACTGCGTGGCAGTGAACTCGTGATAATTGATGGTGAAATTGAGCTCATCTTTCAAGTAGAATTGGAATAGATCATTTTCCGTTCTATTAATGGGTTCACGGAATTTTACACTATAGATTATGGGGATTAAGGGGATAAGAAGACGAGATGGTACCAATAATCCCTTTTAATTATGAGAAAAAACAAGACATGAAAAGATGCTTAGCCCATACGTTTGATATATTGGTTGCTTGACTTTATTATTTACATTATACGACGACATTTTTGCAGAGGCTGAACAGTTATTACAAACGCAATTACAAGGACTACTTTGAGTTGGTGGAAGGAACTTTAAGGGGAAAGGAAGGCGAACTTTCAGAAGCAGAGAAGGGTATTCGTGATTGGCTTCAAAGTAACAAGTGAAAACCAGCTCCTTTGCCTAGTTCTTGAAGTTGAAATAATTGGAAGTGTATAATCTGCTGAATAGTGTTCTCTTAGCACCAAATGATTTCCATGATTTTTTCTTTATCCAATACATAAACATAAAATTTTCTGTTTTGGCAAGGTTAATGGGTAGAATTTTCTTCTATATATACATTTCTGCTTCCTTTTTGTTTTTCCATGATTGTGCGTACTCGTGTTCCATTGAATCGGATGTCTATTTATAACAATTTATTTAGGAAATAAAACGAAATTCACCTTTAAAAGGGAAAATTATATAACGATAACGAATTAAAAAAGAAAACGACAACTACTCTTGAAACGACAAAAAATAGAAAACGATTAATTAGTAAGGTAAGAAAGACGCGTAAACGGACACCGACAATAAACGACAATGAGTTTACAGACGACAAAGATATGACTCCGTTCGAGATCAACAATAACTTGTAATTCACTAAGAAAGTGAAAAAAAAAAAAAAAAAGGCGACAATAAATTCAAGAAAACATGTGTTGACTTTAAAAACGCTGTAAAATTTAAAAACGAAGTTTGATGAAATAAAAATAAATTTAACGCTGTAAAATTTATATATCATTAATCATTAATCATTTTCTAGCAAAAAATAAAAAAATCATTAATTGTTTCTAAGCGTCAAACCATTAACAGTAAGCAATATTTTGGATCGGATTAAACATATCCTACGAAAAACACATCAATCATCATCCGTGAAGACAAGAAATATTAAAGCAGATTAATCTATAGGCCTTCTTACAAAATGTTCCAAACTTTAATTTTAATTTTTTTCCTTTAAATTTTAGCAACTCGTGCAAATTTTCCTCCTTTGTTAAATTTTTACTTATGTTATTTGACCGCCATTGATGAACCTCTAAGGTTCTTTAGGTTAAGTAAATTAAGAGAAAGTGTGTGTAGTAAAAAAATGAATAACTCCTACTGCGTAATTACACATCTATGTAACTAAATGAGGCGGAGTTAAAAGAGTAATTGTGTACTAAAAACGGTTCAACCACACTCATTATTTGTGTAAAACGTATTATTTCTGTTAAAAATCTTAATATAAGGAGTTTTTTGTTAATTTTTGCATCTCATGTGACATTTTCTGCCAAGTTG